TAGCAGTCAGAAACCTTACAGAAGTCACAGTGCTTTTCCATCAGTACTTTTTGCCTCTTCTTGACATGAACCTGTAACAATCTAACCTCTGTAAGAATCCAGTGTCAATAAACCACCTGACTCTGTTATTCATTATCAAGGTGGCTGGTACAGTAATTAATCTGAAATTATCATCAAACTTTCAGGGTCATGTGGATCATTCTGTCTGCCTTTGTTCTCCAAGCGCTCTGACTCCTTTGAGAAATGAGTATCACTTCTGAGGCATTTTAGCTAGCTCTCCCAAAATCCTCAGATACAAACTGTGAGATTCTTCTGATCTGAAATAACATCTGATGGGTACTCTTATTTTGAGGTATTCAGTTTCAGTCAAGTCAGCTGACATTTCCTGTCTAAAACAAGTGTGTGTGTGTGTGTGTAATTAGTGAATGCTGCTCTGGGTGATGATTGGCACACTCACAGGGTTTTGTTCAATGTTTGCTCCAAACTGCTTCTGAAATTTCATGGTCTCCTTTTGCTTGGGGGAAATGTAAAACCAAGCCACACTGTATTTTCTGTTAGTCTGCTTTCTTAGATTCCCTGAGGTTTCTGGTTTGATCCTTGAATACTCATTTCCGTCTTGAACTGTCTCCCATTAGGTAACACGCAGTTCACTGATGAAGAAAGGAAGTTGTCTAGTGAAACTGCTCATAAATACCACTTTCAGACTTTCTCCCCTGTAGGGGCTCCTAATTTTGAGCTGTTTTTGTGAAATTAACCTTTTAGAAGTGTAGTAGGCCAAAATACTCAGAAAAATGTCATCTAGCACTGTGACTTCTGCTAACAGCGTGCCTCAAGCACGTTGCTCGCATTGAAGACTCTCAGAGCGGCTGATAACCTCCTCCTTCCTTCACATGCCATGAACAGGTATCTAAGAAGCCAGGTGTTTTATTTCATAGCCTAATCAGATGGCCAGCATCAGATCCCAGCAGATAACTTTTCTTGTGCTTTCTATTAAGAGATTTGTTTCACAAAGTATTCGGATCTTTTGACCTTCTCAATTGTCAATGACTGAAAAAAGCCAATGCAGTTCTGATAGACTCCCGTCCTCGTCTGGTCACTTGTTTCTCTATAGATAGTTGTGTCAGCTGCTGGTTGTGATCTGTTCAAACTGGCAGGGGTTAGATCCAGCAGTGGAAGGTGTCCACAGAAATGACTTACTGATTGCATTGAGCATTGAGCAAATTAACGTGAAAGAGTGTGGAGAAGCCTCAGACTTGGGAAAGGGAGAAGTGCTCCATGTTAATACTGAGCCATATCTTAGTAAGGAGGAGACACTGATAATTAGATCAGTGAAGATACTTGAATTGGGTGGAGACCTCAGACATCGTAGAGACTGTGTTGTGGGTTTAGAAGTTCAAAGCAGCCTAAGTAACATCTAATGAAGGTCCTGTGTGCATGCCAGTGAGGAGTGTAGCAGTTGGAGGAGGGCAGTGGGAGTAGATGGGTAAAGCCAATGGAAAGAGGAAAAGGAATTTGCAGATGGCACAGAGGACAGATTGCAAGTGAAGTAGGAAGAAAGCAGCTGTAAACATCCTAATAATTCATTGTTTCTTCAGCTTCAAAACATACAGAAGAGGAGGAAGAGGGTGTGTATAAAAGCAAGTCACAGACCTCTGACTATATGTGCATTGATGTGCAGTTGTACCGCTTGGTCAGAAGCTAAACAGTTGAAGGGATGTAGGGCAGACATAATCTTGGACTTTTTCCAGTCCTATTCAATAGAAAGCGTGGGGTGCATTCTGATCAATAGCAAAGGACGTCTTTCTTGGTCTCTGAGGGCTGAAGAGAATTTTATTTCCTGACGGCTAGTTTAGGCACTGGCAAAAAGTATACGTGCAGTGCACTTGTCAAATGGTCAGCTTTGAGCTAGCGTAGGAATCTGCAGCCAGTGAGATATTGATGAGACAAAATGCTTGTCCAGAAGCAGAATCCTTTGTTTCACCTGGGTAAACACCTGCCAGCATTTTTTTCTGAGCTTTGTGCCTCGTTTTGCCAAACCATACAAACATTTCATTAAATTAATACTGCTCCATATTAATTTTGGTTTAATTGCTGAATTGTATAAATAAAAGACAATTTAATATGTTCAGTTTCTGAGCATACAACGTTGCATTAGACTCAGCTTTAAAGGGGAAGTGGCCATTGGCATTAGGTAAAATGATGACATGAGCCATTCTAAAGTTATGCCAAGGCACTGGAAAATAGTTAGAACTTGCTCTGATGCTCTAAGAAACTGTAGTCTTGTAAGTGGATTATGTGCTTTCTTCCCACAAACTGATGAGTATTCTCTGCTTTCAAACCACTGAGGTTACCTAATGCTTATGATCTGTCCTATATAATCATCATGTGCTAAAGGTGGAAAGTGAGTTCGAAAGATCAGAGCATTTGGGAATTAAAATGTCTGGATTTTGATTTCAGTTGCACATCAGACTTCTACAATAACCTTGTCATCAAAACCCATCCTTCAGTAGCACACCATGGATGTTAAACATCAACATTGTGTGGGGAAATGCTTTAAGGGTTTGCACGAAATGTACCAAGTGTCCTACAGGGTGATAGCTATTTATTTTCACTTGTGTTACTGTCCTGAACGTTACAAAGGTGGTTTGCCTAGGTGATGGTTGTACAGGCATGTGAATCTGGTTTTTGTTACAGTAAAGCTAGGTCATATTATCCCAGAAAGCAGCAGCTTCTGGACAAATACTAGTGACCTTCTGATGTGAGCTGTGCCGTAAGAGCTGTTTAGTATTTTGGTGATTGGTCCTTCCTTCCTTCCTTGGTTTTTCAGTTTAATGTTGTAGTTCTATTGTAGACCTGCAATTGTGTGTTGAGGGTATTGTGTGTTTTACAATGTCTGCGTATCCGCTGGGGACACTACGTGTGACAGTCCAAAACAGTGAAAGGGATGAGACATTAACTGCCAAGGCTTCTTTCTCATTAAGACTTGCTCTGTGGTATAATGCTTCTTGGTGTTTGCTTTTAGGAGTCTCAATTTGGAGGTACTGCAGGTTGTGGGAAAAGGATGTTTCTTATCTGTATGTCACACTGAGGTTAAATCCATCATTTCTCAGAGCTTAGTTTAGTGTTAGTGAACTCCACTGCATGCTGTTTGTCTGGCAAGTCAGCTCTTGGTGTCCAGGCAATAAAAACTGGAATAACCATTCTGAACTGTGTATGGTCTTCTGAATAGTACATACACCTGTGTTAGTGCAACAAGCAGCAGAATAGGCTTCGGGCCACTGGATGCTGCTGTGATACAAATACATATTATTTACGTACTTCAGAAAGCAGTGAGTTATTTTCAAGATCAAAGCTGTCGAAGGTTCAAGGTGGATTTAACCCTTGCAGTCCCTCAGGTTCAATTGTCCTGTAATGGAGTATAACTGAAACTCTTAATAGGCTTACATTTTTGAAAGATTGGAGTCCTTATGGCATCTTTTGCAAAGCCATTGTTTATTGAAACAAGGGCACTGGGAGAAACATCTGGGAGGCATAATGCTCTGTAATGGTCAAAGTAATTCTTGGTGTAGTTACAGAATCATAGAATAGTTAAGGTTAGAAAGGACCTTAAGATCATCCACTTCCAACTCCCTGCCATGGGTAGAGATACCTCACACTATACCATGACGCCCAAAGAGCTGTGCAACCTGGTCTTGAACACTGTAGGGATGCAGCATTTACAGCTTCTCTGGGCAACCCATTCCAGTGCCTCACCACCCCCACAGTAAATAACTGGTGCCTTATATCCAATCTAAACTTCCCTTGTTTCAGTTTGAACCCATCACCCCTTGTCCTATTGCTACAGTCCCTGATGAAGAGTCCCTCTCCAGCAAACTTGTAGGCCCCCTTGAGACACTGGAAGCTGCTCTGAGGTCTCCCCACAGCTTCTCTTCTCCAGGCTGAACATCCCCAACTGTCTCAGCCTGTCTGATGGGCCTGAAATTCAGGGTTTGCTAAAGGAATTGCAGCTCTGAAGAGTGTCCTTAGAGCAGATCCCTTGAGACCAAGTACTTCAAATCTCAACCAGTATTGCCCGGGACATTTTTTTCATCTTTAAAATTTCAATAGTCTTGATGTTAATGGGAAAGCAGGGACCAAACCTCACTAACAGTACTGGTGATACTCTGGCCTTGTGAGCACTTGGGTGAAGTCTCTTTAGATTTTGAGTGTTGGCTGTGGAACAGCAAAGAGTTTTTTTCTTGCAGCTATATTGGATTCTGTAACTTGAGCCATCATAACTGAAGGGCAATAAATGACTAATGTGTGCCTGCAGAATGTCTATAACTTTGGTCCTATTGCAGACAAAATCAGACCTTGAACAAGAGGAAGCACAGTTGGTGATAGCAGTAGTGCTAAGAGTAGGTGACAGTGGCTTTGTCTATTAATGGGAAAGTGCTCTTGCGGTCGGCAGTGGACTGCTGAAACCTGCAGCCACTGCATCTGCACCAAAGCACATACACGTGTGCAGCATCCACCATGATCTTGCGTCCTGAGTACTTGTCACTGCATTCTGATTCATGTTGAGATGCAAGCTAAGTGCGTGCCATCATCATCCTTCTTCCCCTTTGTCTCCCTACCCCAGCACATGCCTTTCTTTGTAAAGGAGAGCAGAGCAAGACTACTGCGCCTTGCGATGTAGCCTAGATTTCACTTCAGGTCCACACAGCAAGCTTTGACACAGGTTTTGTTTCCTAATGCAGGCAAGCTGAAGCTTTACGTGTATGTGGGTTTGTAATAAACTTTGTCAGTGCTTGGATTTTGTTGCCAGGTGTATGCCTGTACAGGGCTATACTGATAGGCTGATTTCTTCAGTTACAGGAAAACACAGGGAAATGCTTCATTTTGGTAATACAGACAACACTGTGTTTAATACCACTTATGTTAATCAGATGTAGAAATAAGTACTTGTTCATCTTGTTTGTGTGTGTATTTTGATTGTTTGTGTATCTCTTGCTTCCCAGGAGACAAAGATGGCAGCAAAGTGACTACAGTAGTGGCAACTCCTGGACAAGGTCCGGACCGACCACAAGAAGTTAGCTACACAGACACCAAGGTTATCGGAAATGGATCTTTTGGTGTTGTGTATCAAGCCAAACTCTGTGATTCAGGAGAGCTTGTGGCCATTAAGAAAGTCCTGCAGGATAAAAGATTTAAGGTGAGCCTATGCATAAGTTCATAATGTTTTTATGAATGTTATCTCATTTTCTATGTCTTTGATGGCAGTGTTTTTATTTTTAGTTTTACTTTTTAATTTATTTTCATGGAGCTCATAAATGCAGGTAAAAAATTCAAGAACTAAAGATGAATTAGGTGGTTTATGATAAAAGAATATAGTTTAACTTGAAAATCAGTGATTGTTGTTCCAATTATTTGGAGTAGTGCAAAACAGGAAGCTAAACATCCTGATTTGATGTGCTGTTTCCAGGTCGTACACTAGATTTTTCAGACAACAAGTGATGGAAACAAGAGAAAGGCTTGTCTTATGCTTACTTCTTTCTAGCATAGACTCTTCTCCAGTCATTAGTAATTAAGCTGCTGGAAGAAACAGAAGCCTTTGGGCTTTGTTTCTGGTTGTCACACATACAGGTGGAAGACTGTACCTGAGTAGATCGGGAAGTCCTCAGGCCAAGTAAGAGGATAACAAATACTGAGTTCAGGGCAGCTTGGATTGAGGGCGAATTACTTTCCTTCGTTACCTCATTTATAAATGTGATCTGTTGTGGTGATTTTACTAGATCTAACTTCTTCCTTCTGAAAAAGTAGCCCTCCAAAAAACCGTATTTTTATCTAGTGGTGTTTAAACCAAATAGAAGTCAAGGACCACCAGCAATCTCACCACTGCTGTTAGTCTTGTGCTTGGTACTTGGTGTGCTTGACTGCTTCCCTTGTAGTCAGGTGGCCTGCAGCTAAACTTGTGCAAGCTGTGAATGATACCAAAAGTACTGTTTTTAGTGTCTGAAATCAGTGGTGTGGGTTTCGGGATCTGAAGGCCACAGCCTTCACAACTACAGAAGTATAAAGATAATTAATAGAGAAAGTGCCACAGATAATCTTCATAGCATGGTCTTGATATTAGAACTTCCGAGCTTAGAAATAAGAAGTTGAAACATATTTAAGAAAAATCAGTGATTTGAAACTCCTTTTTTGCAATTAGATAGTTAGGTTTAGAAATCCTGAAGGCTGTTAGATTACATTTTATAACCTCCTCAGTTCTCTCCATTTTTTCTCTAAGACTTCAAGCACAGCTAGCTTTACTGCTTATGTTTTAAATTCACGTCCTGTTTCCAGAGCAAAACCATTCTTTTGAAGTGTTTTAAAGGAACTGCTTTATGCCTTTTCCCGAGTCTTGAAATTAATGCTGTCATCACCACAGGCATACCACAGGTACATTAGATGAAGAATGAAAGAGGAAAGATATGTTAAAATGAATCTAATCATCCAGCATTATTTAACTTCTAATTGAGAAAGGTGTGTAAAGTTCTTACATTGTTCTTGCATCTGAGTTATTTCTGGACTGTATTATGTGTGGAAGGCAATTAGTACCGGGGAAACATGCAATGTGATGTAGAGTGGGTTATTTTAAAAGAATGGAAGAGGCAATGGCATAACAGAAGCTTTAAAATTAGCCATGCTTTAAAGACCATTTTGATCTCTTCTCATTGTACAGTTTTAACAGGGAGGCAGGCAAGGACATTTCTCTTAGCATGTCATGCTTGGTTGATGTTGGCTAGTGCTTTGGACCAAAATATTTGATATCTTTAGTCTCATGAATGAGGTATCAAAATGATGTCAGGTATCAAAATGAAAACATGGTTGAACATTTTAGTTTCTGCCCATCAGATACTAACAGTTTGTGACATCTCATTTTTTATTGTTTTTTTTTTCCTCCAATAAATCTGTATTGGGCGTCTACAACAAAACGTAGGGCTTTGGTTTTGTGGCAGTAGTTGATTCAGAGGCATTTGGTTATGTCTTCATTTTGGAGAGTGATTTCAAAAAACATGGTATCTTGGTATATTAGCCCTCCTTTTGTTTAAGGAAAAAATACTAAACTAAAAAGCTAAGTAGGGTGTTTTGAGTTTGGACTCTGAACTAGTTGCCTGTGTATGATGATATAAGTTGAAAATATCCAGTAACTGGATGGAGGCTTTTATAGCCCTAAACTAGGTGGAATTAATGGCGAGTGCACATGTAGATTAAAGATAGGTAGCATTAATTTAATACTTTTAAATATAAATGTACTTTTTCTAAATTCCTAATTTGCACAGATGTGCAGAAGTACCCAAGTTATGCATTTCAGTTTTATGGTCTTATCCCAAACTTGTATGTCAACTGTGCAACATCCTCTACCTTTTCTCTCAGCTCTCTGGTTTTTGACACCATTCATCAGTTTAGTCCTGCCTTTCTTTTCACATTCTGATCTGGAAGTGTATGTTCTGTTGGCAGGAAGTGTAAATTCCTCCAGGCTGGATGAAAGTCTCTGCTTGGATAGGTTTGGAAGAGACGTGTCTTACATCCAGAATAGCATACAATTACTTCAGGGTATGCTACTCACTGGTTGTAAATGCTGGACCAGATACTATGCCAGCTAAAGGGGGAGCTCTGAATGTCTCTTGGCTGTACATTTTGATTGCAGCGTAGGAGTGGACCAGTTCTTCTGCTCACAGAGCAGCTGTGTTGTTGTCACCCCAGCATGGCTTGCGAGTCTGGATCCAAGTTCTGGTGGGTAAAGTTCCTTCAGAAATCTGCCACTTAACCTCTTAAAATGTACATCCCTGCTTTGGCAATGATGAGGAATACCCTCGTGTAGGCAACCCAGGATGGTGGATAGCTTGCTTGATTTAAATCAAAGTAATCAACCTCTGAGGGGAGAGAGGGTACCTGTTTTCACTCTGCTCCCAGTCATGGGGAAGCAAGAAGGGAAAAGTAATGCATGGAGTTGCTTCCTGAGCTGTAGATCATCAACAGAACATTCAGCTGTATGCTTCAAGCTGATGCCTACTTGTCTCTGTATCCTGACAGATTTATCTCAGCCCATACAGTATAATTCCTTTGTGATTTAGGTCTTAAAAATAATAAAATTATAAAAAAGAAGCTTTTAAAAAAGCCAGCAGTGAATCTTGAAACTGCAAGAGCATGATTCAGAGGCTACAGGAACGCCCAAGAGAGTGTAGCTTACAGGCTCCTTCTGCATTTTGTGAATGTGAATGAGTTTATTGTAAACATCTGGAAAATGCATGACAGTTGCCAGTTTTTAGATCTCTGACAGGAAGTTGAGATACTTTAATCCAGGTTTAAAACTGGCTTGAAAGCTGGAATTGCCAGAGGAAGGTTGTCTTTGTTTTCCTTTTCCATTACTATGACAGGTTTCTCGGCACTGAAGTGGAAGCAACATCGGACTATGTCAGACTGAAGTGACTGTGTATCTTTGCTAAAGAGTTGAACACTACTATTCTTGTGATGGTAAAGATAGTCTGCAATGCTCCTAAGTGTTTCTTCTCCTTTGTTGCAGTTCAGTGGCTCTTCAGCTTGGCAGTGCAATTCCTGCATGGCTGGTTTTAAGCAGGGTCTCTGAAGTATTCTGGGGTTTAAGCGAATATTGTCTAGAGTTCAGTGTAACCTTAGAGCAGTAGTGTTAGAACACTAGGGGTAGAGACAAATGGCTGAGGGGGTTAAATAAACTAAACTACAGACTTCTTAATTTTGGTCTGTGGTTCCCTGCTTCCATTAAACTAGATCTCTATATTAAGTGTGAAGAGTTTAAATAATGTGGTTTTGGAAACTTACGTGATACATAAGTGAATATCTCACAAACTACATGCTGTTTATTGTTCATCAGACCATTGCATTTTTCTCCAGACAGGATGGAACATTGTACTTTCTTTGGGCTTTTATTTTGTGTTTGGTTTTTGGTTCTTTTTTTTTTTTTCCATTTGAAAGTTTTAACAAGGGTAAGAGAGCTGTTTCTCTTTGAAAAAAGGTATAAGGGAGCTCTTCACAAGCTTTTGGGGCCAAAATCTCTCAAATGGCAAAATACCCTAAAGTCTCTGTCCCAGCTTTCACAGATCGTTACCATCGCTGCATCCCACACATACATACGAATACGTCCTCATAAAAAGCATTGATAAAGATAGGTGAAGTTAAATTATTGATTTATAAGATTTCAATTAGTTTCATCCACATGTCTGTCAGCCTACCTGTGATGCTTGAAAACACTGGTAGCATAGATATTCTTCTACTGCTTTTGTTGGCATGTTCTTTGGGATATTCTTCAGAGTAAGAGCCAGTCATGTTGTTGTCTAATTCTGGAAGAAGTAATCATCATGGCTTGACTTCGTGAACGAAGGTTTGGAAAGGGCTTTGCCCATGCTTACTACAAGCGTGCTGATGGCTAAAAAGGCCAATGTGAGATAGGCAAATCCGGCTGCAAAAAGCACAGTGAAAGGTCTCCTTGGGTGGAGCAGGTGGGGCGTGATTCTTTCTACCTTTTCTCCTCGAGACTAGTCCTGCATGAGTTCTCAAAGGAGTCAACGGCATTATGTATGGTGTGCCTCCAGGTCTCCCGATTGGAGGCCAAGGTGGAGCACTGATGGTAGTCAGTATGGCCAAGGCTAAGGTATTGTTTCAGGAAGTCCTTATATCTCTTCTTTGGGACACTTCTCTTGTGGCTACCGGTGGCAAGTTCACCATAAAATGTGATCTTAGGGAGGCGGTGATCCTTCATCCTGGAGATGTGCCCTGCCCAGTGCAGCTGCAGTTTCAGCAATATGGCCTTGATACTGGTGACCCCTGCCTGTTCAAGGACAGTGACATTAGACACATAGTCAGTCCAATGGGTGTTTAGAATTGTACGGAGGCAGCGCTGATGAAAGCGTTTGAGGAGTCGCAAACAGATATGTTAGCATAAATTGGAAAATCTTAGTCTAGTTTTTGTTATTTCTGTCATTCTTAAGAAATGCCATTGCAATGAATGTGTGTGAATTGCTAGAAAAATGTCTCAGCTCACCGGGAATAAGGACTTAAATCCTTCTTATCTGAATTGCAGTACTTGATGTTTCTGGTTTAGCAGTAGAGTAGAAATGAAGAGAGTTCATCTAGATGATGAAGAGAGTTCTTCATAATCATGCATCTTTTCAGACAACCTAGAATGGGCAT